CGAAAAAGTCCCCAGAGTACTATAGATACACATAACTACATTAGCAACAGTGGTGATAGGGCCAACGTGGAAATATCATATAAGCGACATCGGAAATGTCACATGTAGAGGATAAGGTTTTAAAACATAACGGTCGTAAAAGATAATGTGGCGAAGGACTTTATTCACTGCGTTATACCTTCTCTTGACCTTTTGTAGCTCTCAAATATGCGTTAAATTCAATGTTTTCTTCAGAAAGAATTCTGTCATTTTTATAAGCCGTACGTTACTTATCTTTAAAATGTAAATGTCATATCATGCAGTTTTTTATATCGAGACATTTTATTTGTATTTAGCTTTTAGTTTTATACCTACGAAAAAGGAATTTGGCAGTTGTGTACATCTTTGACATTTGCCTGCATATAATAAAACTTAAAATATGAGAATCGTAGGATTATTATGACGTTGATTGAAAGATAAAAAGCAACTTCTAGCTTATCATCAATTTCCATTATTTAATACCACGTTTTACTACCATTTTTGACGAAAAGAACGTTCAGTTAACTACAGACTATAGACAAAAGAAACACACGCATATAAAATATTTAGTGAAAAGAAATTGGTATTTCGTCATAGTTTACAACAATTGATTAGTCTGGCAAATAATGTGACACATTTAACTCGGCACTAATAATTTTTTATTCCTAGAGTTTTTCCTTAGTCACCTCTTAAGCTTCGAAATCGAGGCCTTTAGAATCAGTGACTAGAAGTTTGACTCTATCCGAATCTACAGTTGCATAAGAAGGTTCTATTCACTTGTGTGTCAATTGCACAATCTTTGAAATCCACTAACATTGTGTCAAATAAAATAACTTCAGTCCAGTAAAACCCATTGAAACACTATTTGATTTTTCAGCCATGACTGAAATTATAGAAACTACAAAAAGACAAATGGCCGTTGGGAACTCTTTTGCTTTTGAAGGTCCATATTTCCGCAGTAATATGTGTCTACTATAGATGATACTGGATTTGATTGTCATATATGGTATATAAAACACTCTGTGGTGTCAACGATTAGAAGATGAAGAGGGAAAACCTTCCGTGAAGTAACCAATACTGTTGTTGATGCCAGACAAGTGTCCTTGTAAGTGCTGAATTACACGCTGCTAATGAGATTTACTGAAACATACAGAAGTGCATTAATCTACAGCAACGATTCGTCCCTGCTCTAAGATAACATGGAGCTTTAAATCAACATTGTCATCTACGATTTGTTCAAGTTTCCAACATCCCATTTAACGTTAGGGTTACATCAATGCTTATGTACATATATATAATGACTCACGGGTTTCTAAGATGCGTTAAGGCAGTAATCATTTATCTCATTTTGATACAATACTTAGTTAGTTTTAATATTAAATCGAGATAAAAATCGCGTCAAAACTAGAAAATAAAGCTTATTAACGAGGTAACTAACGCGTTTTCACAAGATACCTATATTGTTTTTAATGGACCTAATAGGCTTTCCTAGAAACATAGTTACATAACATCAGTAATGTAATAGATATACTGACTATAGTTAATATCAGAAATAAACCTGCAGTACAAACAGAAATCATTAAAATCTTAATGTTTATATGTGGCTGGTACTAATGGGCTACTATAGAAATGAAAAAGAGACGTGCGCATATCGACCAAGCATTGTTCTAACATCGTGCAAATAGAGTATGTACACCATCTTAATTGTGTACCTCATGTGCTATTCCAGAATAGCATCGCATATTGTAACAGTTATCGATTAAAAAACCGGAATGCTCAACTACTAGTGATGGAATTGCGATCTGACCAGTATCTCAGATTTAATCGATAATTTAGAACCTTATCAGTGCTTCGACCAGTAAAAACACATAATACATTAGAGGAGTTTGAAAAGTGTTTGAACATTCTCACTTGGTCTTCTACACGTGTTTCCGTTGTGAGTTTAACAAAACTTAACTCTGCATAAAGTACATACTCCGTGTCTTGTAATACTGAATAGTTGAAATAGAAGATATATAAATAAACTCTGTAACTGTATATGTTTGTAACTTATTTGTACATTTCTGTGTGTACAATCAGAATGGTCCTTATTAGTGAAAACAAAAAAGAAAATACCACCATGTCAACATATTCATAATCCAAGCTCAAATTCAATAAAACTGGGACAAAATATGAACAAAAGGAAGAAAGTGAAAAAGACCAAATCTTCTGGAAAATTAAGCGTCTTCTGCTTCATCGGTTGTACCAACTATGTAAACCTTGGTCAATCCTAGTTAGTAAGGTCACGTTCTCAAACGCGAACTTAGTGATAATCACGTCCAGTATGATCTTTGGAAGCAGGCCCTTGAATATCGAATCATCTGCGACATGTAAACACCATAGGTTTGGTATGCAGGATTATTGCTATTCGGAAATGAATTTCACAATGGGGAAATTGAAATCATCACGCTTACCATTCAGCTTGGCTGAAAGGTATCCTAGTTGGTTTAGCTGTAGGAAAAGATCGCGATACGAGGTTGATATATGAGTCTGTCGTGCTCCTTTATTTCGAAATTCTGATTGGTACATACGATGGATTTCTTGTTATTTACAAACTGGACGCCGTCGATATGTCTGATAGGAAAAATGAACGACTTTGCAAGGTCTTTTTGACCTGATTTGATAAGTTCATCGATAAATGCAGACCCGTATGACAACAAAAGCAAACCATCCAACGGAGGGGCACAGTTAGTTCCCATAGGCATGCAAACAGTCTATTAGAAGATCTTACCCCTAAAGTCGACGAAAATGTCAACCAGGAACTCGATCATTTTTATGATTTCATCCTTCATATTTTTCTCATTTGATTTGGGTGTATTTTCTTGAAATAAGTATAGTTGACAACCATATATCTATACTGCCGTTCACCTTTCTTGGAAGAGAAAGCTTCATGAACTAGAGAATGAAGGGGTTCGTTCGGTTTTAAGTGTGAAAAAAATCAAATATTTTTTTAGAAGACATCTTTTAGAATAGAGTGTTTCGAAATATATTTCAAAATGAGTTCATTAAGGTGAGTGTAAAATTTCCAAATCATTTTTATCAACTTGCATTCCTCGAAACCCTGTGGTTATTAGATTGTCCGTCAGGTGTCGACCTATTGCACGATTGCACCTATTTCGATTTGCGATATCTAATTTTAATGTATACGTGTGTATTTTGTACAATCTTCAAAATTGTTGGTGATAGACTTACTTAGATTTCCATAATCTGTATACAAAGTGTTTAACATATTCTGATGGCGGCACGATTCAGAAAATACACTTATACCTGTAGTTGTTCTAATATTGTCATGTACACGAAAGTGTCGAATCATATTGATTTAGGCCTTGAGTATCACTGACGAGTCCTAGAAGAATGAAACAGCTGTTTAATTCATTATTTTGTTAATTCTAATTCCAAGTTTAAATTTGTAGGTACTGTTCACTCGTATATCTTTTCTGTAATATGATTTATGTAGGTCACCTTACATCAGTTTTAAGTATGTAATATTCAAATCAAAGAACAGTTATTAACGTCTGTGTTGAAGGTTAACTTTAAGATAATACTCCCCATTGCCTTCATACCAAAAGTGCTGATAACAGTGCACTTTGCCGATCTTCCAGACACATCGGCTGAACATTACGGAGAGGATTGAATATTTCGTGCAGGGCTAATTTTAGAACGTTTAGTAATATGAATACATATTTTCTTTCAAAATTATCGGCAGACGATATCAATCAACAGCGATGATGTGGTATTGTTACACATCATTAAGTTCGACATGGAGAAAGTGCATCGCTATCTAATAACTATAATAAAGAATAAACACTTAAAGCTTTTACGTAGGACATGCTGAACGTGTAATGAATTTCACGACATCATCACAGTCAATTTCCACGCAGGAAATGCACTCGCTATTTTGCAATGAGATGTCAATTTTCCTTCTAAATTACCTTTGCACGTTACAGCACAAAAATGTAATTGTCGGCATGGCAGGTTGGCTGTTGTTATACAATGTATCTTATCGGTAACCAACATAGCACTTTTATTTTGGTAGCAGCCGCATCCGTTTAACTCTGAAGGATACAACATGGATCAGACCTAAATATCAGTCTATAAATGCTGTAATTGACGTTTCCATAAAATCTAGACTATACAATGTTTAATAGGCATAACCGACAATAGTGGTGACACTATCTTCCTGTGTTCCCTTGTGTACATGTCTGGCACAACTTTTATTACAGCTAGATAACATATATTTACCAATAAAGTAAGAATAGCACCACGTTGTTGATACAATGACAATGCCGTTATTTTTTTATTGTTATTATCATATATATATATAAATAACTTAAATTGATATATATATATATATATCAATTTAAGTTATTTGTCGAAAGGGGCATGCTGTCTGTAGTTGTTATGAAATTGATTGTCTATAAATGCATTCCACAATATATTGTGCAACAATGCAAAGTCATGGAATATAAAAGTTATACAGTATATATAGCTACAGATTTAAATCTTATGAATAGTCTTCGATTATTCCGTTATCAAAACGCGAGAGCAACATCATGGACAATAAAACATAAGAAGTTTAAGAGCAAATTATATGATTTATTAATCCATGTGATATTTCACCTGTTTAAAAGTCTCCCCTGTTGGTTCAAACTTCTTTTGCGATCAAGCAACATGCGGACTCAGTGAAGGCACCACAATTATATTGAATACAACTTTATTATTTTATTCAAATCATTTTTATGAACGACACGATAGCAATGCTTATTATGTACTTTACCGATGTTGAAATTCACATTGAAAAATAATAAGCTTGATAGAAAGTCCTAAAATGTTTATTTTTACTGTTGACAGGATATGACGTACTACCGGAACTTCAGGGAATTCCCGAGAGTGCTTTCTACAACGTTACCTACGTAGTTCATTCATCGGATGATAGACATAAAATGCCACAAGAAATTCGAAATCAATCAGTACCAGACGAACAACGGTTAATGTATTATCTGCTCATGGGATATGAGAAGTCTGTCCGGCCTGTCCGAAACGCCAGCAACCCAGTTGTTGTAGGAATGGGTCTCACAATGACTCAGATTTTTGATATGGTAAGGAGTTTGCTCTTCTACTGCTCGATTTCAAATCGTTTCGTACATTGTTTAACTCATAGATATATAATATATATATATACCTTCAAAACTAATTAATTAGTACGATAATTACTCATAACGGAATGGACCTATCAGCGCTTCATTTTTCTTTTATTTGTGTAATCTCCTGTTTTTGCCATTGAAAAAGTTTATAATTCACTAGTTACGCAAATACGTCAAGTAAAAGTACTTATTTTCAATAAACATTCGTATGACAAGCTATATTTTGCTCTTACTAAAAGATGGAGAATGTCTGGCATGTTGAACCTGACCTTTAAAGAAAATCCTAAGATTTTAGATTCCTGGTCTGTAAAAAACAGTATCAATTTAAGAAATAAGGTAGAAAGGGTAAGGAGACACTGGTATTATCTGTAGACATATGCCTGCCCGGGTCGGAGTACGTGCTGTTAAGACCTAATTACGATACATCAGCTCCCCTACCGCTGTCAACGTGTACTAGGTCGGCGTTTGGCTTCCGACCTATAAACACATCAGTTGGTCTGGACAGACTCGTTAGAACTTGTAATTACAAATGGACATCACTATCCGTATATGTCTACAGCTGGGACATATCCGGTTATCAATGACACTTATCTAATATTAGGTCGTTACGATGATAAAAAACTTTCAATGAAAAATTCTCAAGCATTTTATTTTTTATTTGATAATTATTTTAATTTCGTTGTGATGGGAGATGGGTTGGTATTTGTTTGCACTTGATGTTTTCATGAATCATACATAGGCAGTCACTATAATCGTATTAACACATTTGAATCCAGCTGTCCTTAGATTTGCATATTAATTTATGTAATTGTCTGAACAACTCTCATTTTATAGGTATCCAACGATATGAAGATTTCCTTTCGACTCATTGCCTTTAGGCTTAGTTATGCTTATAATAATTTTAATATCTTCTAGAGAATAGTCATGTTAAGAAACATTTCATGTATATTTTTTTCTTATTTCTGCCTGATTCGATTCTGTAATATCACACTGTAACTGCACAGCCTAATATAGCAGATGAGCTAGCATGGATCAAATAGTTACATACTTTGAATAAGGGAGTGTCATCATAGGATATTGTTACAATGGAAATATAACTGTCCGGTTATCTCCATATTCGTCCAATAGATAATAAAATACACATTTGTCGCTGAGTTGATGACAAGTCTATACGTCTTAGGTTAGTTGAATCACTCGAGACTTATCGATCACACTTCTGGGCGACAAGCAAGCATCACGTTCAATATCTAAAGACAGACTGGTCTATTATCAGAAAAACCTAGCTGCTGTATTGACAACATATGTCTCCATTTCAGATATGATATGTTATATGTAAAATACCAAACCTATCTTTACATATGTCGGTAACCTGGACAATAGCTACCAGTGTATCATACTAAATAACAGCGATGCCAAAACAGGAGTGTATCATCATCGTTTTGTAACCTTCTTCTGGGAAAAACACTCAGGGGAGGAACAACATGAGAGTCGTTACAATATTTGGTAACGCAACATGTTGGGCTAGTAGAGATTTCTAAGTTTGCCTTATCGTATCTACTTTTTATGATTTTTTTTTTCAATCAATCGTTCATAATATGATAGAAACCACATGATGCGTGGCCATTTTAATTCACAGTTTTGGGGTGTTGTCCTTGTTGGATAGACATAAACGTACTTGTCCATGTATGATACAGAAACAGGTCATTTTTCAAGTTCGGTTTAGGAGAAGCAGATGCTACGTTTCCAGAAAATCTGATATCTTTAAACAACGTTCGTACTTAAACCTTTCTGACAAAAAACACTCAATAATGCACATTTATGTACATTTACCAAAATGACAACAAAACATAACAATATATAGGAATATCTTTGAGCATTCAAATATATTGTCACTCTAACACAATGGCTGTTTGGAATATAAATGGAATCTACTTAGGCATAATTTATTCTTTTAAAATATTGTACTATGCTTAAATTTCTTTACAGGATGAGAAAAATCAAGTTCTCGTGACAAATGCCTGGCTGGATCAGGTAGGTTTGATATTGTGGTTAAGTCTCAGGACATCATTGTACTCCCGGGTACGAACGTTTTAGAACGTCTATGTGATATGAGTGGTCTTGTATTTTTAGATTCTCGTTTAAAACAACTCTTGTCATATCATATTATTGCTTACATGTTAAACGGAAATTAAAAGGCTGAATGTTTCCTAATATAAATCTGAAATACTCAAATATTCAACGTTGCTGTCAGTATTGATTATTACGTCATTATTATGTCATAATACATTTCCCCCGAATTAACACCTTCGACTATTAAGCTTGTACAATGTTTTCTTACGCCCACACGGTCGCATAACCTAGCAATGAAAAGAAAAATGCAAAGTCCGTCGAAAAATGTAATGATCTTTAAAATACTAAGTAATATAGTGTATTTTAAAGTCTTATCACATATGACAATGACGTGTAACTCAAGATTATGTTACAAAACTTAAGAATTGTTACAATATAATTTTAATCAATGTATCACAATTTGACCCGAAATGTCAAACACCAATATCATGGACGATGGTTGTCATTATACAATACGCCTAGATTAACTGGTACGACTGAGACGTCTGTACAATAGTATCACACTCATGTGTATTCCCACTAGCGTGACAGACATGTAAAAGAATAACAGTCCATATTGCGGAGACATTATGCTAATTTTACCGATAACTCTGGGCGTAAATCAAGCACAATTTAAGCTGCTGGAAATCACCCTTGTGCTAATTTTCAATAAAGTGATAATACGCTAAAATATAATTACGCCAAATGAAGTATGTTTAAAGTAGTTCATTTAATTTTTACTGTTGTTATGAACGTAACAATATCTCTATGTTTGGGTATCTTTCCTGTCGTTTTGAACAGTATTACATATAAAATGTAGTGTGTAGAATTTATGACAAAGTCCAGTTCGACCTGTACTCTAATGATCCTAGACATTTCTCATACCAGTTTTACTGCAACGATCTGTCATTTCAGGCATTCAGATTTACTAGTAAACAGAATTCTGCATTATAGGTAAACATTACTGCATCAGACCTTTTTCTCACATCCCACGAGGGTCAACGTAATTTATTAAGCAAAGATTAATTGAAATTTTATCTCCCTCTGTCATCAAAGAAATTTATTTAATGGTTTGTACACCCATGAATAATTAATGCCAGTTCACGATCATATTCCAAAATCCCCCCATCAACAGCCTATTGGATATAATAGAATCTACTGTTGATGAGGTTTATATGCCGATATTATAACAAGTATATAGGGTTACTTTCCAGGAGAAAATTCTTTGTCGATATCTATGTGGTTGTCATTTAGATTTGTTCTTTAAAAGTTCAATTACAAATGAATATCAGTAATAAACAGTAACTTTTTATGCATTTCCTGTTCAAAATTAGTTATGCAAATATTCTGTTGGCTGTCAAAATTATGTTTTATATAAAATATTGCATGACTTTGACATGATCTGTAGGCTTCATGTCTTTGATGTCTTACCCTTGTGACCGTTATTTTTATTGTTAGTGTTAACTTGATTATGCTAAAGCACGATATCATACCATACTGCGTTTGAAAAAAATATTTCAGTAAATATTCAAGTACATTGCCATGTAATATTAGCGATCGTGTAAATTGTATTAACATGTATGTGGAAAATGTTACGCCATTTCAGTGTAAATCATAACACATGTTTGACTACTGTTCTAACTCGAATTGACGTCTGTTTCCCATGAGAAAACCTACAGGATAGGGTTATGACCAATACGTATAATTCTCAAGTGAATTTCACAAATATGAGTTGATTCCACCGAAGAAAAAATTGGCGACGTATCGCTTATTCTCCACGGACGAAATTTACAAAGATTTATAACATTGTCAGTCAATTTACAAATCTCCCGAGAGTTTGACCAGACGAAAGATATCATCTGTCATATGTCGGTGCCAGACATCAAGCAGATGAAGATGTGTCGGCCTTGCATACATGGAAAGGAACTGTGTAATAGAAACATGCACGGAAACATTCCTGACAGGCACCTTTTCCTTATGACATAAACTGAGCGGATTACGAAGGATTCTAAATCACTGCATGTACATCAATATTACGTCAATTGAATCAGTGTTTTTACTCAATAAATGTACAATGAAATAACACACAAATACATATGTCTGATGTTTTAAACAAAATTTATTACAGGATCATGATGTACGATCAGACTTATTGAGGTTAAATACATTCGTTCACAGGTCACTAACTAAATCAAGGTTATGTCCTAGGACATGGTGTGTGACAAGTGCATGGTGTACTGCTATTCCAGAATATTATAATGTTAAAAACACTTAACTTTGAGGTTGCCAACACTTTTCAAACAGTCGACACCACCTTTTCCACAGGTGTCGCGGTTAGTTCGCAAGACATTTTTCTATGTCATCTAAAGAGACGGGGCTGATGTCAAAGTTAAAAAAAATCAATTTCGGTCAGCTATGTTTGGCTACACGATGGAACTAACTTAAGCATTTGCTCGAAATTCCTTACAGTGTTTCTACTGTTTCCTTTTTACTCCTGTGTTTATTCATAGATATATGATACATAGATATGGTGTCTAACTTTATTTTACAGGGCTGGCACGATGAGTTCCTCATGTGGGACCCCAAAGAATTCAACAACATTACCACGATAAGAATACCATGTGACAAACTCTGGCTTCCTGATATCGTCCTTTATAACAAGTGGGTAACACAAGTTACTTATAAAGTCTGAACAAATCTTGAACTCTGATTAACGATGAACAGTGTAGATGTACGATACGGGTATAAGCAAATCCTTTTTTGGAATTTAATAGAAATCTCTTATTGTGGTGTATGGTTGATGAGATGGAATCTGTGAAATGATTTAACGTCCAATTTCCCATCGCTCTGACAAATGAGACATTTCAAGATATCGCACACATGACTATATTGATTTATTGTTATAAGAAGCGACTTTTTACTAAAGATATATAGCGGTTTTCTGGCATTTATTGTGTAAAGAGCAAATATAAGCGATCATCCTATCATGAAATTGAAGTAACAGATCCCCATAAGGCTGAATGCATCGATCAAGACACATATTCATATGAGTTAATTTTATTCCAGAATATTTTATTGTCATGATTTTACTGACAAAAGGAAATGGGCAACAGCATTACCTGTAAAAGCCCTCTTCTTGCTATCATAAACAGATATACACATCAGTCCGATAACGAATGAGTCCAGAGATAAATACTGAATACTAATATCTTTAGTGTTAATGATATCACTCTGGGACAAGAATCAGTCGGAAAGTCAGCTTGCATGGACGGCAGATAAGGCAAATTTATAGGAGTCGACATGCTTTTGTCATGAAGTGTCATAAGATATACTATATTTTTAAGGTCATACATTTTCTACACTATCATATCAACTTTTTTAAAGGCTGCAATGCTTTTGAGAGCCAAGTCACAATGTTTAGTGACAAATCTTATCCTAGGAAATTGAAACAAAATTATGCTATTCCGAAAGAAATATATGTTATAAATAGTTAAGATGGCACTATGCTTACTATTATAATTGTAAATTATCAGATGCAATGTATAAAGTTATTCTATTTAGTCCCAATGTATCCAATGTGAAAATGAAAACCATGGAAGTTTAAGGCAAAGATTTATTCATAACATAACAGGAAAGATATTTTCGAAACAAGTGAAAACCCCTTTGCTGAATTTTGAAATATCTCAAAATTCAGTAATATTACTATTAAAATATCTGCATTTACTGAGGAAGCTTGTGAGTACAACAGTGAACACAAGGTGTGTATATATTTACAAACGCATCAACATGCACTCGACAAACTGTGCTGTAGTGCTCTCTAAATAGCTAGCTCTCATTTTTCCAAAATACTTTGATATTCAATAAGTTTTCCGCTTCTGCAACCTGTGTAATCAAGTGTTAGCTACCGACGGTAGCCGATGGGGAATGTATTACTCATGTTCAGACATACGTGATCTGATGCATCCATAGATTAGAAATCTGTGTTTGATTACACACAAGTGGCCAAGAGAAAATGAGACCATATAATCACTCACCCCTTGGCTCTGAGAATGGTACAATAGCGTGTTGTAAAATATTATAGATTGTTTTAATATTGTTATACATAATCCCTAGTCAATGAAAGAGTTCTAGAGCGCATATTTAATTCCAAATGCAAAGCGTAATACGTCTGTATTCCATTGCGTTCATACCACTGTAATTGCAATGGAAACACAATACAATCTTTATGTGTAAGAATTAACATGTATTGAAATATAAACTATGGTTGCTTCATATGCAGCTTGTAATTGCATTTAGCTTCTAAGTTTTAGTCATTCGATTTTCAATCTATAGAACACCTAGTTACAACAATATGCGCTTAGCTGCTTGAGATTTTGTCTGTCCTCAGTTGTTGCAGTATACATCAATGAAATAAAGATACTGTTCCAGTTTGGAATGCGTATTCATTTGCGCGGTATACATTTATTTATAAAAGTATGAGAACATCAAGAGATGCATAGTGTACTCGGTTACCTTTAGATTATTTAGTATAATTGGTGTCTTAGTGCAATTCCACTTAATTCATTTTGAATAATCATAATGTCTACCTTTAATTTCTTGACAAAACGGTTCAAGGATAGTTTCGAAGAATCACCATTACAACTAAATGATATTGCTTCTGGTAATTATTTTGCTTTTTTTGTAGTGCGGCTGAATATACTGATGGAGTTATGCCAGCAAACGCCATGGTAAAAAATAATGGTGACGTGTTTTGGCCAGTACCAACGAAATTACAAAGTTCCTGCAAGGTGGACGTGACTTATTTTCCATTTGATGATCAAAGTTGTAGATTAAAATTCGGATCTTGGACATATGATGGATATCAGGTAGATATAACGAACAGATCTGAAGAGGTGGACCTCTCTAACTATGTAGTTAACGGTGAATGGGAGTTACTTCAGGTTAAAGTTGTGAGAAACGTTGTTATTTATCCATGTTGCCCTGAACCGTTTCCGGATGTGACGTTTTATGTCCATATCCGGCGTCGAACGTTATACTACATGTACAATGTTGTGTTTCCGTGTATAATGATGTCAGCGTTAACACTACTCGTGTTTTGCCTGCCACCAGACTCGGGGGAGAAGATTGCTTTGGGAATCACAGTACTTCTGGCCTTTTCAGTATTCATGCTGGCGGTTGCGGAAAATCTGCCGGAAACATCAGAATTCGTACCGCTCATAAGTGAGTATTGTTATAACGACGGGCCCAATTATTGATTATAAGAGAGGTTTCCCAAGCCAAGCGACAATCGTATGATAATGATCTGATAAAAAATTTCCTTGAAAATATCGTCACATCTTCTGACACGTTCTCCACAAACCTCAAAATTTAACACTAAAGACCTCTCTTATGATTCATAAGTGATATCGTAAAATAACCTCGCTTTACTAGTTCAAGTGTTGAAGCTTTTATCTGTGCACGTCACGTGCAGACAATATGAACTTAAGGTTACTATAATGAACATCGTTACGTGATAATGGTAATTAAAGCAAGAGTAATTATATCAATATAGTCTTATCATTAATGTTCTGCTCGATGTAAAGGCGATTACGCGTGTTTAAATAACAATAATCTGTCGTTAATATACATTTAATTGCAAAAGAGGAAATATCTCAACGTAAAAGATAATTGCCAATTTAAATACATCGTGTATATCGCAAAATACTATCATAGCATACTATACTTGTTATTACGATGATCGTTGTTTAAAACTACTGCTGAACAATTCAGATACACAGTCTCCTCTTTAAACCTTTATGTTCAAATCGGTATAAGAACGTGGAAGATCTTCTGTTGTTTTCCGTCTGTCATCATTCTACCGTTTAACAACTCATGTTATTCATATTTTTCTTGAGAAGTCCTGGATTAATCGTCCTCAAATTTCTTATGAAGAGTTCTCTCAGTCCCTAGTTAATCAAATATACTTTTATGTTTGTTTGTATGTATGTAGCGTACTTATGGTTTTTAATTGTCCATGTTCGATAATTAGAATAGATCTGAAAAACAAACGGTCGACAGGTGGCCATATTCGATTGCGAAAGTTTATCTTTAAGCTATGATTGGACAGGATGGATCTTTCTCAGATTTTATCGGATCCATCTGGAATATCTAGGTTCACATCGCAAGGATTAGGTTAAGTTGAAAAAGACTTTTCTAAGAAAGATCAAACTACAGCAATTGTGTATTGATATGTATTTACATAATTTCGTTGTTTTGCCTGTAAACAATTCTGAGCGGTGTAAATGCGGTTCCATTTAACCGTCACATGACCTAACGGAAAGGACGGTAACTGCACTATGCATTGAGTAGGCCTACAGGCCTAGAACAACTACGTTTTATGGTAAGATACGTGTTATTTAACAACAGGATAAATGAAATCTTAGTTTTCGAGGAGATGACATTTTTTACAATATTACAGTGCCTCAAGATTGTTGCAGGGAACCGAGGTCACAACACAGATCTTATATGTATGGAGAATCTTCTAGATTTTGCAGAATCCGAGTAAAAGAAAACAAGTGTTACACCTACTAGATACGTTTAAAATCATTCTAGTGCAAATTGCTTACAGCGGCAATGTATGGACAAGGAAAGGGTCCTTTTAAAACTGCAATGGAAATAGGAGTGGTAATGGCTTCCAAAAATGATAAGCATCAATAAAAAAATCTGACAACCAAAAAGCCATTTCCTTTAAACCTGAGAAGTACTGTAGTTACATTAAAATGTTAGTAATTATAGAGAGCTTTTAAAGCCACTCTCCCGTTGTTGAATAATGGCAAGCATTGAAGGAACACGAGCACAACCCGTGAACACATGTATTTCGTCATATTATAGGGTAGAAATGGTACAAATTAAGCTAGTTTCGTGCTGTTCAGGCACGTGGTCGTACATGACGTATGAAGGGGGATAAAATGTTTTAAGAATAGCATTGTTATTAGGGACATCAATAAAGAGAGGAAACTAATAATTACGGAATTAGATATAAAACAAAATCACTTAAAAACTAATATATAGATTATATTACGTTGACAATGTAAATTGCTCCATGCTTTTGTTTATATGTGTCATACAAAAATACATTTTTCCTCCTGATTTTAAAGATGAAATTCGTTAACATACCAGAACTTCTCGTATGTTATATCTAAAATACAAAAAGTGTAGCATTTGGTACATGTAAATGTTAAACAATGATAAGTCACATTTTCATATTTAACGTTCCACAATTTCTTTTCATTAAATCATTTTCCCAAGACTATCCAAATAAGATATCTCTCCGAACCTATCATTCACAACATGTCGGAAGTGTCCATCAGCATGGCTAACCTACGTCAATTTTCCAAAAGACATTAATCCAGTTGTCAGTAGCCAGGCGGTAGACAGCATACCCAGTGGCATTGTGATTCGAGGAGTGACCATCCCACGCTAATTAAAAAAAGACCATGATTAACTGTAAAGAACGTACATACGATCACCCATCTGCGTCATAATTCTTATAAAAAAAGAACGTAAAATGTGTCATGTTACTTTAGATTAGAAAACGTATTAACTATCATCAATGCTATTTACAATATTTTTTATGATTTTAATATACTTTACTTAACAGATCTTTCACACTATTCTTGTTCGTCACGTGATTTTCATTGCGTCATTTCTATACCCTTCAACCTGACTGGAACCGTAATCCGAGATGTGTAGCGCAAGTTTTTGCTAGCTAGCAACACGCGTTTCAATAATGTATTATCCTTATCAATAGGCTTCACGCTGTGGCGTCTTATATCTGATCAAAATGAAGTGCTGGTCCTTTGTTATGCCAGGGTAAATAAAACGTAGATTCTGTAGAATATCCAAGGCCCTGTTAGTGTAAGGATACAAAGTTTTTAGCTGTAAACAATAGAAACACTTAATTTGATAAAGGTCTTCGTGTTGAGTGTTATGTTATTTTCCCAAAGGAACAGTTCTGATTAACATAGTTAGAAAAAAGAGCCCATTCATACAGTTTATCATTAAAGTAATGTTACTAAGCAACTTTTCCGTGTCATATTTTAGAGATATAATTCCTCATCTAACTTTATCTCATACATGCAGAGAAGCTGAGAAAAACATGTTTTACATGAAGAATATTTAAGACCATACGTTTTGTTTATACAGTGAATTACAGATGCTACCCCGCCCTTTGTTCTAATCAATCATTGGCGTTATAAAGAGGGTGGTGAATGTTTGTGGTATTAGGAATGCAAATATTAAATTATATGTAAAATCCAATATCTAGGGAATAACTCAATATTTACACCATTATGTAAACGATGTCATGAACCACCTGTTCACGTTCACGCCCTTATATTATAGCACAAAGTTCTGTATACTTGATTCTCATTTAAGAATATTATTTGATCACGTGATTTACTGTTTATTTTTGTTTTATTATACCGGCACCTTTTGTTTGTTTCTGTGTAAATATTCCTTTTGTTAATATTTAACCTTATTTCTTCTTTGTTGTGTACATCACTTTGTAAATATGTATTTCTACACTTGATAAGATTGTATAAAAGATACACAAATTAATAGCACCTTTCAATACAATAAGAAGTAGTTACAGTGGAGCCAAATCATGAATTCAACTGCATTGGTAGGTGTATAACTATTTCGTCCTTCGAAGACTCATCAGTGGTGATAAGGGTCTAAATTTTGAAACCTAGGAGGCGAGGAAAATAGTGATAAAACGAAATGTCAATATCTAGATGGAGAGGTATACAAGTTCCCCTACGCCATAAATTTCGTAATTTTCATATCTGATCATTTCAAAAGAACGTCAAGTACAGGGCTGAACCACGCCACTATATGAATGAATTGAAACGTGGTGTGCAGCTATAGCAAAACTCGATGACTAAACCCGCAATCGAAGATGGTACAGAAGACAAACAATTTAATAACACCTTTTCATAAAAAATCATAATCTGATACAGAAGAGCCAAGTAATGATTGAAGCAGCACCGTACAGATGCTTTTAGAAACATGCTACTATCATGTAGAGTCACAGGTGAGTAAATATATTTGTTAAGCTATAGGTAGCCCAAATGCTTCGTCTGAATGTGTTTTCTGCTTTTCAAACATTCAAACGATTTTTGCATGTACACAAAAACACACAATCCCGTATTCAGCGGACATAATTTAAGAATATTATCTCGAATTGTACAAAACTATTTTGGAGATGAAAAGAAATCCGATGATGGTGTGTTACATTTTATGTGTATTAAGTCACGGAGATATCATGTGTTTCCCAATCATTTATCATTAAATACATGTACATTAAGACAATGAAAAGGAGTGGAGATGTTTTGATCCATATCTTTGAACCTTTAATTACATAATCTCAAACTGTAAAGATGACAATGGGGAGAATTTACAATTTACACCAGAAATGTTTGTCTTGTATGAAGTTCAATACTTCCCCTCCTGCCTTCCATAGATATACATTTCTCTGCTTTGCTAACACTTTTGTTTGTACATTCAGGAATACAATTCTGTTTGATATTCAACACGCGCAAAAAGCCTCGGTTATATTTCAATTCACACAGCCCTATACATTTTGTTGAAGATTTTACGAAGGAAACGCCTTTCAATACAAATCTAAAATTGGATACAGTAGAACCAGGGTACAATTTCACTGCGTCATACAGTTGTTTCGTCCTTCTTACTCGTCAGTATTGCTAAAGGCCAAAATGTTTTGAAGCCTAAGACACGACTGAGGAAAATCTAAATGGATTTAAAGAAATTTCTTAATCTTAATGGAATGAGTAAAAGCCCCATGATTAAATAAGATGCATTATTTTCGTACACATGTATTCATTTATGGTATTTTGAATCAAAGGTAGCATATCACCAGTTTAAAAAAAATAACAGGCTCTTGGGTAATGTTATGTAATAGTAAATATTCCAATACGTAGAGAGGATACTCGCATGATAACATTCACTGAATGCATTAAATTCCTGGAAAAGCGAGAGAATACTTGAAGTCTTTTACAGCAATACTATCGACTGTCATCAGAAACATTAAGATTTATATTCTACTAACTAATCCAACAATAATGTAACTGTTGTAACAATAATTATGTTGTATTACATTGTAATTGTCTCCTACACTGATAATCATGATACAAAATTGAAATTTTAATTGAGATGTACAA